TATGTCAAACAATGCTAGAAAAGGACAGAGCAGTAAGGGGATGTACATCAGGGATTATAAAATACAATGTTGAGGGATGAGGTTCAAGTGGTAGAGGGAAGACTCATGTAGGGAGATGAGAGTTTGTTTGGATAAATTGGTAATGATTTTGAGAGGATGAAATTAAAGCAATTCTCACCAACATTAGGAGCAAGTGGATCATTTTACATTTGTACTAGGAAAAGGAGAAGACGTATTAAGTCAGAAACCTAGCACAGGGCTTTTTCATCAACCGAGTAGGTGGCTCTTGGGGAGGCACCTGTGAGCAGTGGCATAAACAGATCCCTGAGTTCCATCATGCCATGCCGCGCTTCCCTCTCACCCACCACACAACACCCCTGTGGCTGCCTTTTACAGTATTGATCAGAACTTCCTTTTCCCCGCCTCAGCACCCCTCTGCCCACTGAAACTCTGGTTAATTCTCCTTTCTTACTCTTTCTCCTTAAAATTTCCCATCTATGTAAAACAGCAAGGCTGGTAATGCCAAAATATTTTTCAATGGACTTTGGTTAAGAATCTATGGGGTGTTAGAGAATGTAGTATGTATAAATGGAAAAGGACCCTTTATCTGTCCTCAGATATTTCACAGTAGAGTGGAGGGAGATAGAAAGGCACAAAAACAATGTGCTAAGGTTTACAGAGAAAATTTAATCATGGTAGAAGCTTCCTCAGTGAAGTAGCTACCTCAATTATCTTACTTTCCTTCTGGATCTTTAATCTTTCCTGAACATATAAACATGCTGCAGTAGCTTTCATTTCTGCCTTGCTTTTTCTTCTCTTATAAGCTCGAAATGGACTTCTTTAGCTATACCGTCAACTTTCCCTAACTACACTTCCTCGCTTACTACCTCTCTAGCTCCCTTCATTCTGGTTTCTGCTTCTCCCAGTCAAATGATTCTCTTTGCCAGGTTACCAATGACACACCCTTATTATAATGTTTAATGAGCATTCACTCTTCTTATGTTATTGAACCTCTACTTAACTAACGAGTTGGTCAAACTCTTCTTAAAATTTTCCCCTTAATTTTTTTCTAGGGCATCTTATTCTTAAGATTTTCTTTATACCTTTCTAGCCTTTCCATTTATGTCTCCTTTTTCTTTTTCCACCCCTTCAATGCTGCTATTTCCTAGGGTTCCAATCTTAGCCTTGTGCTATTCTGACTCTACAGGCTATGTTCTAATGCTTTCTGAATTTATGTCCTAAACCACGATCCTTCTAATTTTCTCAAACTCTTCAGTTTGAGACAGCCAAAACCAAATCTATGCATAGCAATTATAAACACCTCAGCCTTGACATATTCCAGTACACATTAATCTTACTCGTTTACCTGTATTTTACATCTCAGTGATGAAACTTACTGACTCAAGCCAGAAAACAGGGTGTCACTCTGGGCTATTGCCTATTTTCTCCTTTACAACAAATCTGTCAGTAAGTTCTGTCTATGTGACTCCCGGAAGATGCCCCTTCTTCCCATCCTCAATGCCCCAGCCTTTGATGCGAGTCGCTTCTCTCCTGGGCTCTTGCAGCTGCCATTCTTTCTATTTCTGCTCTCTTGCCTTACCCAAGGTCATGCATAATACTGTGTCCAGAGTGATCTTTCTGTACGTACTTTAAATCTGGTCATGTCTCACTTCTAATGGAAATATTTTTCCATTTCTCTCTATCCATATGACTAGTTCTAAAATCTTTAGCATAGCAAACGTACTTAAGATCTGTCTTTTTCTTTAATCAACTCCATTTTTGGCTCTTTCTTTCAACTCCTCATCCTTTTGGCTCCAGTCAGATTAAATATTGCCTAGCATTTCCTTCCGAAGTTATTCTCAGACTCATCACCATGCTTTCACATAATCCATTTTTTATACCTGCAGTACACTACACAGATTTAATGCATGTAAATCCTCCACATCTATAGAAACAAGATTCAATTAAGTTCTTAGCAACTTTAGGAAAGCTTCTGTTTTCCTCTAGGGTTGAGTTAGGAAATTTTCCTTTGTGCTTTCCTCTTATTCTTCTCATAAGCCTAATAGGTAACTCATTCTACAAATATTTTCAGCCATATCATGTCAAGCACTGTGCTAATTGATGCTATTTTCATGACATGAAATGTCTAATTGGGCACGAGAAGGAGGAGCATGTAAGCAACTTATCATACAAATATGTAACTACCAGCAATGAGGATGGTTCAAAATACTATGATAACACAAAATAGGAGGACTTGATCGCGTGTGGAGGGTGTTAGAACAAACCTCTCAGAGAAGAGGGTATTTCAGTTGAGATATAAAGGGTGAGTGGAAAGTAGATGTTGTGTAGAAGCATAAGATTCACAGCCTTCTAAGAGAAGTGGGATCAGAAAGCGCGTGAAATGTTTGAAGATCTGGAAGAAGGACGGTGTGGCTAGAGCTCAGAGAGAAAGGGAGTGCGTGTTAGATAGAACTAGAATATGAGGAAGGAGATAGGTAATATATGGCATTGCCTGCCTGCCTTCCTTCCCTCCCTCTCTCCCTCTGTCTCTCCCACCTTCCCTCCTACCCTCTCTCCCATCCTCCCTTCTATTCTCCCTCCCTCTCTCCTTCCTTTCGTCCTTCTTTCCCTTCCTACCCTCTCTCCCTCCCTCCCTCCCTTCCTCCCTCCCTTCCTTCCTTCCACAATGTAATCAGTTACCTATGAGCACCTATCAAGCAATCTATCTATACCCATACAGGGGGTATAGATATAGTGATGATAAAAGAAAAACTACACATGGTTTCTTCCCTCATGAACTTAAAGATCTCATAAAGTTTAAGTAAAAAATTTTCTTTTTATTCTATTAGCAATGAGAAGCCATTGAAATATTTTAATGAGATGACTAATAAGATGTATATTTAGAAATATTTCTTGGATTTCAATGTAGAGAATGGTTTATAAAGAAATCTAGACTGCATTAGAAGGCAATTTCTACATTTTCACATAAGGGGTACTAGTACTTGGATAGTGAGGGTGAATATAGAGAAGTGGATGGATTCCAGGGCTAATTAAGAGGGAAATGACAGGTCTTAGTGGTTTCATCATGTATTTTGTGCCATTTGCAGTGGGCGGAATAAACGTTCAAGACGGTTTCTGGGCACTGGCTTTTGAAACTGACAAATATTTATGCCATTCACTGAGATGCTGGCAAAAGACCAGGTTTTTACATTTTGGACTTTGTGAGCTTTGAATATCTTTGGGAAACCCAGTTGATATAGTAGGCTTCTGGAGAGGTCTAAGTAAGAGATAGTTCAGTAGTCATTTGGTAACAGAGATGGTAATTATCTACTGACATAGACAAGATAAAATAAGTGGAAGGAAGGGGAAAACAGAATATCAGAGAGGAAAGAAGAAAAGCAAAGAAAATATAGGACTGAACCTTTAAATTGATGTCAAGGTAGTGGATGATGGATGTGCTAGAGAAAATGAGAGGGAGAGACCAGGAGGTATAAGGTAAACTAGAAGGTTGCGATGTAGTAATTAGGCCAAAGAGAGTGTTTCAAGGAAGAGGATTTGATCAACTGTTTCAACAAGATTTAACAATAGGGAAGCTGAAGGTGATTTCTGAGAGCTGCTTTATGGATCGAATGGAGGTGGAAGCCAAATTGAAGTGAGTTGTGGGATGGATGTGAGGTGAGGGAATGGAGACCATGAGTGTCAGTGCTTGTGAGAAGTGTGTGCGTGAAAAGGAGGGGAGAGTTAGAGAAAGAGCCACAGTTCAAAGCTGGGAGGTACGGGATCCAATGTAGAGGTAAAAGTTGGACATTTTTAAAGACGGACAGATTCTCTATTTTAATAAAAGGAAACAAGAAAAGGATGAGAGTATATACACATAGATGTATAAGGCTTACAAAATTTTATATAAATTTATAGAATCAAAGTGCAATTTTGTGCCATGCATAGATCGCATAGTAGTTCAGTCAGGGCTTTTAGGGTATCCATCACCTCGATGATGTACATTATTCTCATTAAGTAATTTCTCATTATCCACCCCCTCCCATGCCCTCACCCTTCCAAGTCTCCGTTGTTGATCATTTCACACTCTACATCCGTATGTACACATTTGGAACACTTACTTATGAGTGAGAGTATGCAACATTTGTCTTTTTGTGTCTGGCTTGTTTCGTTTAAGGTGATGGCCTCCACTTCTATCTATGTTGCTGCAAAAGACGTGCTTTTATACTTCTAAACAGCTGAGTAGTATTCCATTGTGTGTATACCATATTTTCTTTAGTTGATTAGAAGAGACTTGTAGTATGCAATAGTGAGGGCACATTTAAGGTTAATGATCACAAATTTATCCAGCCCTTTCTTTCTTTCTTTCTTTCTTTCTTTCTTTCTTTCTTTCTTTCTTTCTTTCTCTTTCTTTCTTTTTTTAAATATGATACCAGGAGCACTAGGATCTAGGATGTTCAGGCTCAGGTTGTGGAAAATGAATAGTTTTATTCATATAGATTGAAGTTTTAGCAAAGGGATGATTTAATCAAATTTACATTATATTTTCTTCTAAAATACCATGAGTTTGGGTAAGAGATGTAATAAAAATATCCACTACAAATTATACTGGTGTATAGTAGAAAGCAAAGGCCTAATTAAAGTTATTTTTCTCCCAAATGATTTATTAAAGAAACTTCTTTTCTACCATTGCTTTTCTTACACTGGTAACATACTGGCCTAATTTGTTGCATGTTTATAATATGTTTTAATGTATAGTGAGGTTACTGCCTATCTACCTTTTTTTCAAAACTTCTTAGGTTTTTCATTCATTCATTTTTCTTTATGGAACACAACATTATTTGTCAAGTCTCACTATTCTACTTACAGAATATTGGCTGAAATTTGCCATACTTAGTAAAAGTGAACTACAATTCCTAAAGAGTAGGTGAAAGGGATACTTTTTAAAGCATTAAAACAAACAAACAAACAAACAACAAAAAAAACCCTCTTGTATCTGCCTATACAAATAGTCATAAGAAGCCTACTCAGCTCAAGATTCAGCTCATGGCATCACCCAGCAATGACTCCACTGCCCCAGTCTCTGAATTCCTCCTCATCTGCTTCCCCAACTTCCAGAGCTGGCAGCACTGGCTGTCCCTGCCCCTCAGCCTCCTCTTCCTCCTGGCCATGGGGGCCAATGCCATCCTCCTGATCACCATCTATTTGGAGGCCTCTCTGCACCAGCCCCTGTACTACCTGCTCAGCCTCCTCTCCCTGCTGGACATCGTGCTCTGCCTCACCGTCATCCCTAAGGTCCTGGCCATCTTCTGGTTTGGCCTCCGGTCCATCAGCTTCCCTGCCTGCTTCCTGCAGATGTTCATCATGAACAGCTTCCTCCCCATGGAGTCCTGCACGTTCATGGTCATGGCCTTTGACCGTTACGTGGCCATCTGCCACCCACTGCGGTACCCATCCATCATCACTAATCAATTTGTGGCCAAAGCTAGTGTCTTCATTGTGGTGCGGAATGCCCTTTTTACTGCACCCATTCCTATCCTTACTTCCCTGCTCCATTACTGTGGGAAAAATGTCATTGAGAACTGCATCTGTGCCAACCTGTCTGTGTCCAGGCTCTCCTGTGATAATTTCACCCTTAACAGAATCTATCAATTTGTGGCTGGGTGGACCTTGCTGGGCTCAGATTTCATCCTCATCTTTCTCTCCTACACCTTCATTCTAAGAGCTGTGCTTAGATTTAAAGCAGAGGGGGCAGCAGTGAAGGCCCTGAGCACATGTGGCTCCCACTTGATCCTCATCCTTTTCTTCAGCACCATCCTGCTGGTTGTTGTGTTGACAAATGTGGCCAGAAAGAAGGTCCCCATGGACATCCTGATCCTGCTCAATGTGCTTCATCACCTTATTCCTCCTGCATTGAACCCTATTGTGTATGGGGTTCGGACCAAAGAGATAAAACAGGGCATTCAGAAATTACTGCAGAGAGGGAGGTGAATATGTAAAACATTTCTAATACCTGACGTCCTTCCTCTTCAGTGATTTTACCTACAGAGGGAAGTAGAGAAATGTCAGTTAGTGAGGTATTTATTGCATGCACTGAGGCTCCCTTCATTACTGAACCAGTAAGGGAAAGTGAATCCCTTCCTTCACTTTCCTTGCATGGTTCAGGTAGAAGTAGGCAAGGGGTAGAAACTCTTATTTATTGAGAGACTGCTTTGAACCTCGCAATTACATTTAAGTAATTTAAGCTTCAACACATCTCTGCAGGCACTGTTACTTTCATTTCACATAATAGAAGAAGAGATGCTTTTAGGAAGGAAAATGGCCAAAGATCACATATGTGGGAAGCAAAAATAATAAAACCTGGGCTCTTTCTATATAGTTGAAATGCTTCATCAATTGCAATTGAAGCTGAAGAGCAGCCTTTCTCTCCTTTGACCTGTGTTTTGCCTTTCTGGATGTCCACAGGTATTTTCTGCCTGTTCTTAATTCTTTGAGACCCAAAGGGCTTCTCAGAGAAGGCAGAGTCTTGCCTGACCAAACTTCTGCTGGGAAACAAGAAAAGAGCTTTACAGCAATATAAAGCAGTGCCAGCTTTCTAGTCTATCCTACACAGCCTCATCACCTTAGACAGTCTTGAAAGTGAGGATGGTTGCAGACAGGAAGAGGGGACTCTGAGACGGTAAGAAAGAGAAGAGCTGACTAAGACATTGTGTTGACCACGTTCCCTATATGTGTAAGCCTCACGCTCGGTGAACTGAACATCAAGCCTTACTTGATCTGTTAACTGCCCAAGTGCTCTAGTTGAATGTGTGAAGATAGGACATAGTGTCAGGTTTCTGTGCAACAATGGTTCCAGTTAGGTAACAAAACAAAACAGAACAAAAACATACACTGGTTATTTACAGATAATTTAATGTAAACAATGAGTTTTGATGAAGAAAGGAGGCTCAAGTAACAGGGAAATTGCATTAAGGGGAAGAAGCTTCCACTTAGAAAGAGGCTGGGTCATTAGAACCTAAGAGGTTAGGAAGTAGCCCGTAGAACCGGATCTCAGATCTCTGAAGAAGGATGCTGTCCCTAATTGGTACTCATGCCATAGGACCTCAGAGGATGTGGCCCTTAGAGCTGGGACTAAAACCTTTGAGGATGGGACACTTCCTTGATGGAGCTGGTATTTTTGAGAGAGTTCAAGGAGGATGATTTTGAGAGTTAAACAAAAAACAAAACCGATCAACCAACTAACCAATCTGGAGACTAGAATCAATTCCACGTCCAGGGTGAAGAGTTGCTGCTGAGGAATACTGACTGACAAGACAGGAGCAGACAGAGAGAGCAAGTGTCCGTCTCCCTGTTTCAACCTGCGAATGTTTCTGCTGCTCTCTGTAGGTAGAAACTCAGAGAGTGACAGCTGACAAAGAAGCGGTTCAACTTCCAGCACCAGCATCACAGAGTACAGCATGGATGGCAGGCTTGGGGCTGAGAGATATCTGTTAGTAACTGACGCAGCTCCAATCTTCTGTGGGTCTGAAAGCTTGTGATTACTGAGGAGCAGCTATAACATCACCCTGCAGTGTACTGTTGCCTCCAGGAACTAGAGTCAGAATCAAGACCCCTAGTGCAGGTGGGTGGAGAAACGTGACATCGTGTTTAGGGGCAGCATTCAGAGCTGTGAAGGAATTGTCATGAAGCTGGCAAGAGGAGTAAGATCAACTGCCCCACGTTGCAGGGATTAGATAAAGTAACTGTAACCCAATGCTGGTGTGGGCACTAGGGGCAAAGTTTCTTCCAGTCACTCAACAAGAGCAGGAAAAAATAATGAAACCCACTGGCTTACAGGAAGGGGCTCTTAATACCCTCAGGCTCGGCTCTCATTGTCTCAAGCCAGAGCCACAGGTGCAATTCAGTATTTGTGATTTTTTAAAGAAGAGAATTCTCTAATAGAACTTCTCTCCGTCTCAGAGATGCTGGGAGTTCTACCTACCACTGCTTTCCTATTGTTCCTCAGAGGTTACAAATGCCCACTTCAGCACTGATCTTCTAAGATAACTTATGAAAATTGAAGTTCATATGTCTTGAGCACTTGCAATATACCAATGTCTATAAGTGATAATATACAATTTTCATGAGAGACTTCCATACATTATTATAAATAATGTGATTTTTTAAACTAGGAATCTAATAGGACATAATTCATAAAAGCATAATAAATTTGTAATCAGGTGATATTTTCAAGCATTTGGTCAACTCCATTGGTCTTTCCAGGAGCTCTTTCTCTGCTTCTGGCATGATTTCACCTGGTGGCAAGCCCAGGATTAACTCAAAGAGGAGTCTATGTTATTTGGCCAAAACTCAGATCTTAATTCCTGAACCAGGCTTCTGTAGATCAATGGAAATGACCAACACAGTTATGAGATGCTTGACTCAGACTGGGTGCACATAGGGACAGAAACTGCCAGCTTTGTTGTAGGGATTTGTAAAGGATGCAGGGACCAAGACAGCAGTGAGACAGCAGTGGTCGCCCCTCACAGTAACTAGCACAGCTCGCACACATTGAGGGGCTCAGTAAACATTTCCTTACTTATTTTATTGAACTGGCTAAGCGAAGAGTTGAAAAATCATGTCTACGTTTAATCTCTAGTTCCCCAGTAGTAAAGTCCTAAATATAAGAAATGATAAGCCCTATACTTAAAGTTGGCTCTCTGCTCTGGTTCTAAGAGGTTTAGAGGACCACAGATTTCTCACAAAATTGTCAATATGCAAGTGGTGAAGTAACGGGTCTCAAGGGTCCTAGATAGGCTTTGGGGTAAATCCTCATACAGATGATAAAGGAGCAAGATAACCAAAGAATCAGGCCTTGAAGAGCAGACCCTACTCTGCTGTGAAGTCTCCATAGCAAAATGTAAAAACTGTCTTCTCTGTAGAAGTTTTCCAGTACTGTCTTGAGTGCGTATAATGAAGCAGTATAAATTAAAGGCATTTTAAATGGATGGGGTACTGATGTCTGTCAGTTTTTTAAAACCGAGAAAATCTATGAAGGTTTGTTTGCTGATACAACCTGAATATGTTCCGACTGCGTTGCAAGAGGGTGCATTCAGAACAGGAGGAGAGTGAGAGTGGCTTTCCAAAGGTCACTCCCCTCACTCCCTGGTTTGCATGTTGGTCACATTCTTGAGAAGGAAGATCTGATATCGTTGAGCATTGCTAGTAAGTATCTTAGCTGTTGGAAATCAAGACCTAGTGGAGAGGAAAAACAAGTCCTCTGGAATTAGGTTGGAGGAAGAAGAGACGTTGGCTATGTCGGTAGCCAAGGCTCAAAACAAAGATCTAAGTATTGTTGAGGGAACAATACTACATTTTTCATTTATCACTGAAAGTTTTTCAGTACCTAGCCATCCTGATACTTTATCATGCTTTGTTTGGTGTATATTCTAGGCAGTGAGAATTCTGAGACATCAGAGACCAAGTTTAGGGCATCAAGACTGCAGTTGCAGAACCTGAACGGCAACCTCTGAAGTTAAGCAAACTCTTCATCGTTTGCAGGTCAACAGTGCCCCCTTGTGGCTGTATGTAGGAAAAGCAATACTGGAATGAATGCCAGTTCTCAGTCTCAGGAGTTTGAAAGAGGAATGACAAGTCTGTTTAGAAAACTCCTGTACTTCCTGCTTATAGGGCACATAGAGCTTTGACTGATTAAGTTAAAAAATAAAAGAGACATAGCAATTTATACCATAATTTTCTTTTCTTAAGCAACATTTAAAAGTCAATACCAAAAGTTAATACTTTACATATACTACATCATCGGCATTTGGCTGAGTACTGCATATAATAACAACATTTATTCACCCATTCGACCAAAAATTAGTTATTGAGTTCTTTATGTGTGATTAAGACTCTGAACATACAGGAAAGCTACTTTTTTAGAGAGATTACGATCAAAATAGCCCATGAATTATAATTACCATTTTTGCACCTGAGGCAACTGAGCAAAATGATAAATTATACGTAGTCATTCAACGAATGGGGACCGGAGTCAAAACTGAATTTAGGCATTTTGCTACATAAATCCATTCTTCCTACTCCTAGGGATTGAGATATATTTTAAGTCTTTCACTGGATAGATTTGTAGTTTCCTAAGATTTTTCATGCTCCAGATTATAGATATCAAAGGCAGAGTACACCAAAAACCCATCGTACATTGAATTAGTCAATCCAAGTAAAGTTAGTTACTATGACAGTGATAGCACAGTGGCCTAACACAATAAAAGTTTACTTCTCATCCACGTCTCATTCCAATGTATGGGGGCTTTGCTCCACGTCAACATTTAGGGACCAATGCTTCCTTTATTACATGGATCCTCCATGTTCTGGGCTCTTAGAGTCCTCCACTGGTGCCTCTGAACCTGGCTGGCAAGCAAGCACAGAGATAGAATGTGCAGGATCTTGTAAGCTTTAGGGTCCCAAACTAGGAGAAAGATCATTTTATCTATCATTTCATTGGCCAGACTCCTCACATAGATCCAGCTGCTTGCAGAAGATCCTTGATCATAATTTTTCATTTCTCTTTCTCCTATGTATACAATATGCTTACTTCCTTACCAAGGGAGACACCAAGCTCTCATGTGGTCACTATGCAGCAAAAAATCCAAGACCTCCAGATGTGTGTGGCCTTCTCCATCAGATCCCATTGTGATTTCTCTTTCAGCAGTGATATTCCATCTCTCTATTAATGGTGGAGCAGATGATTTCCAACTGGAAGTGAAGTGTGGAATTCAGCTAGCAGTAACTTAATAGTCATGCAAGAATACTTTGGGAGCAGATATTGCAATATTTTTACTTGCTGAGAGTGAGATAAGTTCCTTGACTAGACGTTGTTTATGTTCTGTAGGAGGAACTCTCCTGATCATTGTTTTCAATGTCTTGACTATTGCTTTTTATTGTTTTTTTAATGCCATCTGCCCTTAAGGGTGTGTGCCTTAATTAATGTTCCCGTTATCCACATTGAACAATGTGACTTCTTTTGGAGTGACACAGTGTTTGAACCTACTTTCTACTTATAAAATAT